CTGCTATCTTCGTGTATCTATCAGCATTTACTTGCAAATGAGTCTTTCAATTAGGGTAATTATTTGGAAGGATTTTTGACTTCCATAAAGCACCACCCCTCCTTGACAAACAGTTGATAACTGCGATAGAATATTTGGAATTTGTTTGCCTTCTTGCCAGCAGTGCCTTAAAAGAAGCATCAGCTACGGAAGGAAAGAAGCTGGGATGCAGTAATGGAAATCAAGCAGCAGCACGCAACTCAGGCACAGAAGTGAGTGGACTCTGGGTTAACAGAACAGAAGTGAGTGGACTCAGGAGTAACTAAGGAAATAAGGTGAAAAATTAAAATGTTCCATCAGAAGACATGTAAACGTGTGTGCAATCTGTGGAGCCTGTTCCTCAACCATGGATGTCCCACTTGCTTAGGAAGACTGTGAAAAGAGATCTGAGTTTTCTTGGGTAGAAGAATTATCAGAGAAAAAGTATGAGAAGTTCAGGTAACACTTAGAAGAAGCCCTGGTATGTATTTCTTGAACAATAAAGTTGCCCTGTTACATCTTCAAATGCTTACTGGGAGATGGCTTGCATCATATGAGGCCAAACAGCTTTAGCTTACTGCATTTTATGATGTGTTGCCAGCCACATACACAAGAACCTATTTTAGCCTTTATAGAACCTGTATTTTGCTTCCATGGGACTTAGTAGTCCCATGTGTAAAAGCATGTTGAAAGAAGTAAGCTAGTGAAGAAAAAAACCTGCAATTTTTGTTCCGTGTCATCTAATATAACGCAAAGGTCAGAGTGACACTGAGACCAGTAACTGGTGTGTAGCACTCTGGGTCGATGCTTAAAGTGTTGCTATACTCCATCCCATCTGGTAACTCTGACAGAGCAGCACCTGCAGCCTCAGTTAAGGGATCTGCTCATTTTAGGTGTTTGCTGTTTGCTGCAGCGTCCCACAGACATTTAAAAACGCCACCCCACTGCAAGAAGAGCAAGCACTAAGGTTTGTCCCAGATCGTCAAACTGTAAGTCTGTAGGAAATCCAGTCAGCCTCCCACAGCCTCTTGTGTGGCTTAATTCTTTGAGACCATGGTGCCAGGTGAGCTTTTGGGTAAATTTTAATAGCATTCTAATACTGATACAATTACATTCAGGTTGGATAATAGGAAAAAAGAAAAAAAAAATACCAGAAAGAGTGGTGAGACATTGGAATGGGCTGCCCAGGGAGGTGGTGGAGTCACCATCCCTGGGAGCTATGGCACTGGGGGATGTGGTTAGTGAGCAATATTGGTGATGGACAGTTGGACTAAGCGATCTTTCCAACCTGTGATTCTATGGAAATGATTCAGTCCACCTAGCAGATGCAAACAAGTAGAGAATTGAGCCATCCCAGAGTGAAAGCGTCTGCAGTGAGCTGGTAGCAGTACAGCTGGCATCTTTTTAATCGCATTTGTGTCTAAAGAAAGAGGAAGCAGAGGATGCTAGTTTATTGACTTCAGACCTGGCTGCACTGGTAACCAGTACAATTATGACTCGAAGATGTGGGTTTGGGATTTTTTAAAAATTCCTCAGTGTTTGTACACTTTCCATTTGTAGAAGCCTAACGTTAGTAGGCTGCACTTCTCACTAATTAAGAATTAAGTAGTGTGTGCTAAATGAAAACTTGCACTGCATTATTTCTCTTGGATTTGAGGAATTGGTTTTGTTGGGAACTTCAGATACCTCCTGAGGATTCCTCTTCTGCTGTGCCTCGTTGCTGCTAGCAAGTGCCATTAGCCATGGTCTGATCAAGGGAGAACTAATGGCTTTATTAATTTAGAGGCTAATACAGTTTACTACCTAAGCCTTGTTATTGGTCACGCTGATGTGCAGTAGTTAATTGAGTGTTTTCTTAAGGCCTTCTTTTCATCAAGTTTCAGAAGGGATTGGGGTCGAGCAAGGCTCGGTAGTATTTTCCACATTTAGAATGCTAAAGCACCTCACAGGACTGTGTGGATCCTCCAGCAGTGTTGTCTACCACCTGTGTTACCGCTGCAGTAAGTGACGAGGAAAGAACTGGGTTTTGGGTTTATAGCGGCGTTTCGTTTTGTTACTGCGGTGAGGACTGGTAAAAAACAGCCCTTGCGGAAAGGTGAGCGGTTTGCGTCCGTCCTGTCACCGCTCATTGCCGCGGGGCGTTCGTAGCGCCGCAGGTGCAGCCGGCCGGCGCTCCTTGCACTCGGCGTCCCGCGCAGCGGAGCGGCGGGCACCAGGGCCGGGCAGTGAGGGGCCGGCGGCTGCCCTGCGGGCTCGGGCCCCGCTGCCTGCGGCTTGGGACGCCTGTGCGGAGTCCGCGGGGGGAGCTGCTCGGACAGCCCCCCTCGCTCCCTTCCACCCACGGGCAATAACGGAGCGCCGGCACCTTCAGCTCCTCCTCCTCGCGGTCCCCGGCGTGAAGCGCCCCGCCCCGAGAGAGGCGACCCCGCTGCAAGAGTCGGACCCGCGCCCGGCTCCCAGCGCGGCCGCGCGAGGAGCGCGGCGGGACGGGGGCCGGAACCTCGCGGCACCCCGCAGCCGCACCTCGGTGTCCGCCTGCGGGAAGCGGGGCTGCGGAGGGGGCGGCGGCGCCACGGAGGAGACGCGCGAACGCCCGCGGCGCCGCGTCCCGCTCTGCGCTCCCCCGGGGTCGCGCGCGGAGGCTCCCCGGAGCGGTCGGGGGGCGGCCTCGGGAGCGCGGGGCCCGCAGAGGCGGCGGGCGGGCGGCGGAGGGCCGCAGCGCTCGCGGTCGGCGGTGCGGCGCTGAGCAGCCGCCTCAGAACTCTGCGTCCCGCCGCCGCCCGGCTCCCTCCACTCACTTTTATATTTGCGCGCCCTTTCAATCCTCAGTGACGTGTCCCGCGCCGCGCCCAATCGGCGGAGCTCTCTGGTCAGGACAATGGAAGGGCCCGGGCCAATCGGCGCGGCGGCTGGCTTGGCGGCAGCCAATGGGGACGGGGCTGTGTTGAGAGTAATGTTACCAGCGCCGAGAGTGTGAGGAGGCTGCGTATCGATCCCGCTCTCACAGCCATTGCGGTGCATTGGGCTACACAGGGACCCAGGCAGCGCTGGGGCCGGGGCGAGCGGCCGGGCGGGCGTCTCTGGGGCTGGGGGCCGAGCGAAGGCTGCGTGCCGACTCTGA